TGTTTTGTTTAGGTCATGTAATGAAAATGTCTAAAGCAACCGGTGGAGATGTTTAGGCTGGAAAGCAATTTCCGGATTTAACCTTATCACACAGCTCCATTTAAGCCATCGTCTAAAAAAAAAAGAAAACGGCACACACCAAGTGAGACCTCCTGTCTTAAATAGAAGGCCAGTGGGGAAAGCATTAAAGAAAGCAAAGAGGTAACTGTGCAGAAACTGTTGACCTGATAATTGGGGATTCTTAAATTCTTGCCATAATAACAGCATAGGAAGAAATACCAACAACATTTTGTTTGATGTTGAGGTAGAAGGTGCCATTATCAGATTAAATGTTTTCGATTTCATGCAAAGTTATTTTTTTTTATCCTGCAAAAAAAAAAAAAAATCTAGTCATAGTATAAGGGAAGGTAAACGGATCCAAAAACAGGACAATTGAGCCATAGTGTGTACTTACGCAGGCAAAGCCCATATCTGAGGCAAATCTTCATGATTTTATGTCCACAGATTTACCAATCTGATTGATTTTTGCTACTTTTTAGAATAGAATGTCCTAGATCGGAGGTCTTCAACAGGGGGTCCGTGACCCCTGGGGGGTCCACAGACGCACTGCATGGGGGCAGCTAAAGCTTTGGTTGAATCTTTTTTGAATCTTTTTATATTTTTTACTAATTGCAATGTCTTTAAATACATATAAACATGAATTCAACACACTAGTAAAACAGATAAAATAATCAATGCACACATTCAGCGACACACAGGAGCTCTTTCAAGCTTGGCACCATTTCATTCACAACACCTGTCCCATCAACCAGGAATCAAAAATACTTTAATAAAATTACTTTCATTAAATGACACCATCTGTAATAGAGTGACTATAGGACCAGTTTAATATAACACAATTTCATACAATATAAATAATTAGGGGGTCCCTGCTCCATCTTGCCATCGGTTTGGGGTTCCTTGGCCTGGAAAACATTAAAGACCCCTGTCCAAGGTGTTAAAACCTGCTGGTAATGCCCCAGAATAGCCGTCTTTCTAATGATTATTAAACATTTACATTCTAATTACTTGGATTAGTCCATGAAATCCGAGACCATGGTCTATAGCCGGCAAAGGGTAGAGTGCCCACTCCATGTTGGGGAGGCTGTACTGCATCTAGTGGATTTTAACTATATCTTGGGGTCTTGTTCACAAATGAGGGGAAGCTTGAGAGGGAGATTGATAGGCGGATTGGTGCGGCGTCTGTTGTCGTTAAGAGAGAGCTGAGCCAAAAAGCGAAGCTCTCGATTTACTGGTTGATCTACGTTCTTACCCTCATCTATGGTCATGACTGAAAGAACGAGATCCCGGATACAAGCGGCTGAAATGAGTTTTCTCTGTAGTGTGTCTGGGATCTCCCTTAGAGAAAGGGGAGGACTCAGAGTAGAGCCGCTGCTCCTCCACATCGAGAGGAGCCAGCTGAGGTGGCTCGGGCATCTGATTAGGATGCCTCCTGGACGCCTCCCTGGTGAGGTGTTCCAGGCACGTCCCACTGGGAGGAGGCCCAGGGGGACACCCAGGACACGCTGAAGGGACTATGTTTCTCAGCTGGCCTGGGAGCACCTTTGGATTCCTCCAGAGGAGCTGGCCCAAGTGGCTGTGGAGAGGGACGTCTGGGCCTCCCTACTGAAGCTGCTACCCCCCGTGGCATGACCCCGGATAAGTGGAAGAAGATGGATGGATAGTCTATGAAAGCAAATTCAATTGAAACACACTCAGAGTTGTGGCTTACAAAATAAGAATATAAAGGTTTCAAAACAGCTAAAGAAACCATTGGTTGAATCTTGACCTGCAGTTAAGGTCAAGATCCAACCTCCCTTTGGGGAGCAGCCCACTGCTCCCCAAAGGGGTCTTCAACATTTTCCTGGCCAAGGACCCCCAAACTGATGGCGAGATGGAGCGGGGACCCCCTAATAGTGTATGAAATTGTGTTATATCAAACTGCTCCTATAGTCACTCTATTACAGATGGAGTGATTTAACTAAATAATTACTCCCTGGGATTATTAAAGTATTTCTGATTCTGATTCCTGCTTGATGGGACAGGTGTTGTGAATGAAATGGTGTCCAGCTTGAAAGAGCAGTGTCACTGAATGTGTGCATTGTTGACTGAAAGTCATCTTCTGCCTCCATTTATCTGTGTGTTAATTCATGTTAATGTGTATTTAAAGACATTTCAATTAATGAAAAAAGTTGCAGGGGGGAATATATAAAAAAGTCTAATCAACCAAAACTTTCGCGACCCCCATGCAGTACCTGCAGGGACCCCCTAGGGGTCGCGGAACCCCCTGTTGAAGACTTCCGTCTTGATTGACTCTTACTTTGAACCGATTCCTGTTTTCATTTTCCTGTGTTTGATTTTATCAAACCCTAGACATCAAAACCAGTGGGACCCATCATGTTGAACATTTTACAACAGCCCCCTTTTGTTGCAGTTGATGATTTCTGGAAGGTGTGGGTGAATCGCTGCAACGCTTCGCTAGTACACGTCACCCTTCACTAGTACACGTCACAGGAAGCCAGCCATCAACCAGGAAGTGGCTAGCAGGCTAGCCAGCGCAGGATCATGAGCAGCTGAGAATCAGGGTGTTTCCACAGGTCAGTCATTAACCTTCTCAATGAACATTATGCCAGAACTGCGAAACAGAGCCGTGTTTATTAACAGTCGTGCTAAGTAATGTCGTATTTGCAAATTTGATGGTCGTAGGTGGCAAAACTTGGGTTAGCTTTTAGCGTAGCAGCGTATAAAGCATGAAAAGATAAGCTGAATCGAGTGAAGGTGCAAAACAGGTGTCTGTAACACATACTGCAACTAAAGTCAACATTTATTTAATTTTAAAGCTATTTGGTGATAGAAACATTTAGTTGAGCCTATTAAAACCATTCTATTTCAACATTAGCAAAGGTATATATGGCTACCAGGTGATAGAAATCACAACAGGAATATAAAATAGATATATCTGAGTTATTTATATTAAATGCAAAGACGTAACGTTTCGAGTTTTGAACAGTGGATAAAATATCACATAAAGTTAAAAGAATACATCTAACGGTTGGTATTATTTATTTTATTATTGCTTTTTCTCAAACATTGCCTATATAGGCAAGTTTTACACATAAGGACAAATCAAAACCTAAATTTAGATGCATTAAAAACTAATTTATATCGTCAATCCCCAACATGATACATCCTAGGAGATGCAAGTTAAAATAGTGTATGAGTTTATACACAATTTGATTAAATACAGCATGGATATCGAGGTATAATAGACTGGTAGAACGAGATGCTGCACACTGCCGGCCAGCTGGTTGAAAGGTTCCTCCGTTTATTTATACCATCTACAATGGCCTTATGAGCAATGAAAAAACTCATTTGCGATGTTCTCTCTAAAAGGACCTTTCAGATATTAAATATAGTTAACTATGTTGTTTATAACTTGTTTTTCTTCACCATTACACAATATATCCACAAATTTATGTAAATGATATGAAAAAGGTCATATTGTAAAACATTTGAAACAATAATAATAATACTGAAAGTGTTCTCTCACCTGCTTTGACACTGGCATCCCATTGTTAATCTGTGGAGTTCACTGTGGCATATTTTGCAGCCATAAGAGTTTCAGCTCTGCCCAAGGCTGTTTGAAGGCGCTCCGCAAGGTTTAAGAGCATGTTTATGAGTATTTTTCCCCCCAGAACCATGTTTCTGAAGTGATTTGTTGGAGGACAAGGCCTGGCTTTCAGTGTTCGGTTTAATTTATCCCAAAGTTATTCTTACAGATAGAGGTCAGGACAGTGGAGTCCACCTATCCACACTAAACCCCGAGGTCTTTATCCATTTTTCTGCCATTTTGTATGGACCTTGCTTTTTTAATATTGTGTGTTTTTTTTTGTTTTTTTTACCAACCCTTTACAGTCAAACATGGATGGTTGTCCTGGTTACCACCAAACACAAACTTGTCCATCAGTTTCCAAGATTAAGAAGCACAATTAGTCTCTCCAGAGGACCTACCTTCACTGCTCCTATTGAACCGTGCTTTAGCTCGCTATCCGTCTTAAGCTAATCTGACAGCTACACAGAAGTTATAAGGTTTCTTGGGACTATGCTGACACTTTGTGACGTCTCCGCACTGCGATCGTTAGCATTCACTGCCCAACCGCCACTTTAAGAGGCTCACTAATAGGGCTGCAACTAATGATTATTTTGCAAATCGATTAATCTTTCAATTTTTTTGATTAATCGATTACTACACCTATAGCAAAAGGTTCCTTAAAGAACACCTTTTTTGTGAAAGTAAACCAAAGCATATTATAGAGCTTATTGACAGATAAACAAGTTTTTAAAAAAATACAAAATGTTAACATTTTCTTTTTACAATTCTGTTATAATTGCTGCTCTAAGTGGGTTTCTTTGTCAGCTAAAGGCATGTTTTAGAGTCTCTATACTGCAATAATCGGTTAATTGATTACTAAATTAGTTTAGAAAATTAGACGATTATTTCAATAAACAGTTCATCACGATAAATCCACTTAATTGTTTCAGCCCTACTCATCACCTCAATTGTAACCCATTTTTTTCTCAAATGTTTGTAAAAACTGCCTGCATGCCTAAAATCCTCATTGATATTTGATATCCCTGTGGACACCTGATTTGAAATATATCTATGGCTCAGAGAAAAAGTTTGGCGTTATGTATTTTATCATACTTATCTCAGTAATCCATTCAGAAATTTTAGATCTATATTTCTTTTTTCAGTTCAACGCATCATTAAGGGATCAATACCAACTTTATCCCCATATGCTTTCAAACACCTCTGCTTTAAAAAAAACCTCACCATTCATAATTGAATTGTTGAACATAAACTGTATCATATTAATGGTTTTGTTGTTATACCTAGAATCACTTTATTTTAAAAAAAAGAAGCTTGATTTTTCTCCCCTCCATCTCTTCAGAAGGCCAGGATGGGCAGGCAGAGGAAGAGGGTGGTGACAAGTGACGCTCCTCCCCATTCAAGGAGAGACGAGAGGCCCTCTGCGTTTAATCGCAAAGAGAAAAAAAAGAAAACCGATATTGGGAAAGTGTTCATCAACATCTCCATTGGGCTCTGCATATTCAGTCTTATCTGGTTCTTTTATGCCCTCTACATGCGGTCCAGCCTGTCGAAACGCGTGGTGACTCTGCATCCATCACCTCGTGTCCTCGACGCCAACAGCACCACTGCGAAAGTTTCCTCGGAGAGGTTCTGGGGCTCCTACAGGCCTCAGGTCTACTTTGGCATGAAAACGAGAAGCCCAAGGTCCATTCTGACAGGTAGCGGCCCATTCACACTTAAACACAGATTATTGATCAGGGATATTTAAATTATGGTTAAAATCTAATTTATTTAGGTGGTGAAAATTTCAGCAGAGATTTTAAAAATGTTAAGATGCCATGCTTTTAGGAATGGTGACTAAGATTATATTATTTTGGACATTTGTACGTCATTGCTTGTGGCTAGAAATGAAATCTCTTATGTGTTTCTGAACAAATCTGTATCAATAAATCATTTACTTTAGGTTCTCTTTTTGTTTTAAAGATCAAAAACATGTTGCATAAATTACTTTAAAAAATGCATCCATTCTTAGAGTTTACATGAATTCAAAGTGAAACCAAATTCACACTGTAGATATGATTTAAAAAAAAAAAGGTTGTCAGGCGCTGCCATTGTAATAAATGAAAATGTAACCAGATGTTTTAACCTATAGTGCTATTACAGTCGGGCTGGGCAACATGGAGCAAAAATAATCTCTTGACATTTTCAAGCTGAATGCTAATATATCATATTTATCTCGATGTTTCTCATTTCATGCAGTAATTTTAAAAAAAGCTCAGTCCCTAATGTCATCCGGGATTTTTTTTAACAAACCACTTTAGATCTAAAATGGGTGAAAAATAACCTACTGGCATATGTAAATGCCGGTAGGTTATTCCATCTCAGTATGAACTGCACCGTGTCATCTTAAAATCTCTATCATAAATATGTCTATTTTTAAAAATGCGCAGTTCTATATTACAGAATGATGTCCCTCTAAATATAGGAAACCCAAGGAGTACATTTGTGGAAAAAGAGAAAAAGAAAAAAAATCCAGATTTTCCAAAATGCAAATTTTCAAAACTGTGAGATTTGAATGTTTCCATAAAATTGGTTAATGCCCTAGCCCTATACTAATGTACATTAGATTATAGCATAGTGATAGAAAAAGTTAGTTTTCTTTTAAAACAATTCATATTTTACGTTTATATGATATCAGAAATTTAAAAATATACATGAATGAACTTGGTGACACACGTGCCAGCCTATTGGGCTATTCTATAAACAGTGTGTTGGTGGGTTGATTATAAGTATTACCTTTTTTTCCTGTTAATCTTTTAGCTAATCATCCATTTTAGTAGACATTGTTTTCTACTTGGATAAATGGAGTTATATATCATGTTTTCCATTATAAAACTGAATATTTATTGCATTCAGAGTTATAAAAATACAGATACGAATACAGATTCAGTCAGATTTATTACTACCTGTGTAAAATTTATGTAGAAAATACACCAAAGATCAAAAAGTGCTACTGTAACATAATAATATACCTTAAGTTTTAATACCCATCTCCTGTTACAGTGGCTGTTTTTAACAGAATCTGCATTGATGGAGCCATTTTAGAGGAACAATTGATAAACATTTCAAGCCTAAGCCTATTTGTGATGTCTGTCCCTAGGGTTTACAATTACATAAAAACAACCAATACAACACAAGATTAATAATACAAATACCAAACAGAGTAAATGCTTTTTCACTGTCATACTCATTAACACCTACTGATCAAAACAATAACAAAATATAACACTGGGATGATTTTAAACATACTTGCAGTCATACATGTCTGCCAAGCAGGTTCCTCTTTAGAAACTCTTCAACTGACCATAAATTAAGTTTAATATTACCTCTGCAGCTGAAGAGTTTAACCTGCAATCACAACATAGACAATAGCTCATAGAGTGAATGAAACATTTTGCCAATGAAGAAAGATTTAACCAATATAGTTTAACATCTAACAATATAACTGTTTTTTTTTTAAAGGATAAAACTTCAATTCTTGCTGTGGCCAGATTACATGTTCTGCATTACATTTTTTATTCTTTTTTTATTTTAAAAGCTTTTCAACTTTTACATTTTTGTCTTCTGCTAGATACTGATTTATTTACTTTTATTTTTTGTGCAGGGATGATGTGGATGCGTCAGTTTTCCAACTCTGACATGAACCTTAGGCATACTTGTGAGCAAGGCGATCATTTGCAGGGCTATGGATGGCTGATGCATGACGGACTGACGTTTGGCGTCCAGGAAATTCGAGATAATGATTTCACACTGACCACTGAGTTTGTTAAGCGGATTGGTGGGGACCATGGAGGAGACTGGACCTGGAGGATCACAGCCAAACAACATGTGAGCTGTAGCTGAGCTTGTAGTGATGTTATGCATGTATATCCTTTTAATATCACGATGCTCTGAGTGTTTTCCAGTTACTATGAAAAATGTTTGATGCTTATTTAATGTTGTTGCCATACAGAGCTCTGCCCCCCAGCCTCCAGTCATATCGCTGATGTTCTACGCAGCAGCAGACACACAGGGATCGCTCCATACTCACATGGAGGAGAGGAACCGCCTGGCTTCCATCACTGGTTTCTCAGAGGAACTTGGAAACTTTAAGATCACTTTCAGAAAGCCTGTGACTGGGGAGCTATCGAGCCCAAAATATGCCAGGTAAATACTCAAATGAAGGCAGAACTCAAAGTTACTACAATATACTTAATAATTGCTATTTCTATGTTCTTTCATACCAGAAAATAAGGATAAAAAGGACTCTAAACCTGTTTGTTTCTGTGAGTCAGGAATAAATCTTTAGTTTCAACAGATGGATATCTAAAGCTTGTCCCAATGAAACCCACAGAGGTCAAAAACAAACTTTTTATTCGTGGATAAGAGAACAATAAGGCACAGAAATAAAGACTAAAGGAAAGGAAATGTTGGCATAATTATAAAAATACTTACATTTTTAAGTTGAACATTTCTAGATAGCCTAGAGATGTTACTTTAGTGAAGGAAATTTAGATTTTGGGAGGGGGCTAAAGGCGAGTAGAGGATAAAACCATCTTTTATCATTCTTGAAAGAATAAAATTATATTTTATTAATATAACCTCGTGCAAATTATGGATCTTCTGTAAAATGTATCTGATAAATGTGCCTTTTTTGATATACAAAAGCAGCTATAATGTAGTTTATAACTACAGCAGCACTCTGGGTGCACACTTGGTATTCACTCACAAAAATAACAAGTGTATTAGAGTTTTTATGTATTTAATGAAGAAGAAAAGACATGGTTCTTATCCCCCGTCTATAGCGAGAGAAAAATATGTTGTTTTGTGTCAGGTTATGCACAGAGAAATCTGTACGTGACTGAAGTTGTTTGTTGAACACAGTATGTTACACAGACAAAAATACTCCACGTTTTGATGTTGCTCTGAAATATGTATAAGAATCAAAGTTAGCTACAGTGTGACTGAAGTGGATTTAATGATGTTTTATTTGTTTGCACAAGGTGATTCAGTTTAACTGTGTCTCATAGTGGCATGCTGAAAATCAATAACTCCAAAGACAAACTAGTAACTCTAACACAAGTCAGCAGATATGGCGCTTAAGAGTCCAATAATGGGTCAATATCAGTTTTGCACCTTTGGTTTAGATTAAGGTTTTGCCAAATTCTCGCAAACTCTTTGCCCAAATTCACTCTTCTGCAAGTCCTCCCTCAATTCTATTCTCTTTTTCTCTCGCCCTCCTCCTCTGATAAAGGTTTTCTTTAACTTTTTTGCTGGCTCCATCATGTCGCACTCACACCCAAAAGTCTATAATCACCTGTGAGAAGTGCAGCAGAAGACTTGTTGCTGCTAAATAAATGGCTTTATATTTGGCTGCTGTAAAGCTGTTTATCTCACCTCCAGGACAGAGCTGTGAGACTGCCAATGAGTCAGTGGCATGGAAACTGGTAAGTGTGGTTTTCCAACCACAGCCAGGGGGGAAGGACGACGGAACACTCAACCTTTGCATAAACATTTAGATTACATCTAAAAAAGGGTGTTATTGAGGTAAAAATGTTGCATCTTTAAGTTCCTTCTCAAAAAAAATTACATCTTGTAAAGATAATTAATGACTATTTGCTTATGAAATATCTTACTATATTATGGTTCTTTAAGAACAACAGGAATCAACATAAAAACAGCAAATGGGAATCAGCCTCAAAATGTAAATCTGTGTATTTCTAAATAAACCTCAGTGTCTCAGTTTATTAATATGAATATCATGTAGATGAATCATCTACATGAATCATCATCATTTTTGTTCAAACGGATGCTAAAATTAGAAGAAATTGTTCATTTTAAAACAGGCCCTCTTTTAATAGTTTAAAGTTGCAGGTCGGCAACCTTATATGTTATTGGAAATGTGTGTGATTACTATTCTGTCCAGGCTCTGTTGTGTGCATTTTTTTATGGATGCAGAAGCATAGCTTTGAAATGCAGTTACGGTAGCATGTACAATCATCTTTAATTCCTTCAATACTGCAAATACTACACTTAATTTTATTAATATTTTGGTCACAAGGTGGTGGTATTGCTCCTCATGTGGTTCATTGTATGTGGCAAATGTGTCACCAGACAACAGGCACTAAATCAGCAGTTAAATGTAGTCTCTTTTTACACACCACATTCCAACACACTGATGTTCTTCATGGAGCAGAAATGTTTCTGAGAAACTATGTTCACCCTGTCGTCTTCATTAACTGGAATCATCTCTGCTTTCTAGTTACAACTACCTTCAGACTCTGTCCCCTGGCTTGGAGAAGCTGACTGATATTGTGAAGCTGAGCCTGAACCGCAGGTTTGTCTACAGCCCTCCGTCTGGTGAGAAGAGGCACTACATCGGCGTGGACACCTACAAACCCCATCACCACCAGAACCAGCAGAAACATGCTGACCCCCGGAAAGAGGGGGATTTTGTGGTCCACCAGGTTACTGTTCAGACACCTTTCCAGATTGAAGTTTTGTTTGAGTCTGGAAGCTTCACCAATCGTCCAAACCAACTTGTTGGTTCCATCATGACTCAGGAGCTGGAGAAGAGGAAAGCTGAGTTTAATTTGAAGTTTGAGAAGATTTTTGGACTAGAGAGTAAAGGTTTTAGCCAAACGCACATAAAATTTGCCAAAGCGGCGCTCAGCAACATGTTGGGTGGAATGGGTTACTTTTACGGCGAGTCTGTGGTACAGTCGGTATACAACGAATATCCTCTCCTGTACCCTGAAGGTGCTTTATTCACTGCTGTACCATCACGCTCTTTCTTTCCCAGAGGCTTCCTCTGGGATGAGGGATTTCACCAGTTGCTGCTGAGTAAGTGGGATCCCCAGCTGACCAGAGAGGCCATCGGCCACTGGTTTGACCTGATGAACATCGAGGGCTGGATCCCCCGTGAGCAGATTCTTGGAGATGAGGCTCGCAGTAAAGTCCCTGCAGAGTTTATCGTTCAGCGGAACGAGAACGCAAACCCACCTACGCTCTTCTTAGCCCTGCAGGAACTAATTGAACAGCTCACTTCAAGGTCAGATGAGGCAGTGTCTAAACCAACCCTGCCTTTCCTTCGAAGGCTCTTCCCAAGGCTTAAAACCTGGTTTGAATGGTACAATACCACACAGACGGGGCCAAAACCCAATTCCTACCGCTGGCGTGGACGAGACAAAGACACCAACCTGTACCTCAATCCTAAAACCTTAACCTCCGGACTGGATGACTACCCCCGGGCCTCGCATCCGTCAGCAGACGAGCGGCATGTGGATTTGCACTGCTGGATGGCATTGTCCTCAGGCATCATGGCTAGCATAGCGCAACTTTTAGGTGAGCCCCATGAGGACTATAAACTCCAACACAATGTGCTTACAGACAACAACCTGCTGGACGACCTCCACTGGTCAGAACAACTCCATGCTTACAGTGACTATGGCAACCACACCCAGAATGTCTCCTTGCAGCGGGAGAAGGTATACGTACCTCCCGGACAGCCTCGCCATCAGTTCCCCGTGGCACGACTGGTGCGCTCCGTACGCAGGGCCCCTAAGCTGCAGTACGTCAACGCTCTGGGTTATGTCAGCTTGTTCCCCTTCCTACTCCAAATCCTCCAGCCGGACTCGTCCAAACTGGAACACATCCTCCGAGACATGAGAGACCCTAACAAGCTGTGGACGCCCTTTGGCCTGCGCTCTCTTTCCAAGACCGATCCTCTTTACATGGAGCGGAACACAGAGCATGACCCCCCCTACTGGAGGGGACCGGTTTGGATAAATATCAACTACCTGGCAGTCAGAGCCCTCTACCACTACGGCAACACAGAAGGGCCATACCAAGAGAAGGCAGCTGCCCTGTATAAGGAACTCAGGACTAACATTATAAACAATGTTTATTCACAGTATGTTGAAACAGGGTATGTCTGGGAACAGTACAGCGACAGTACCGGCAGGGGCCAAGGAAGCCACCCCTTCACCGGCTGGTCGTCCTTGACTGTATTAATGATGGCCGAACATTACTGATATCTTTGTTGCTATGATTGAGACAGCATCAGCAAGTTTTTATTTCTGTGCTACCAGAAATTAAAACAGAAATTATATCTTTCATCATCACAAAAAAACAACCCTTCAGTAAAATAATAGATGTATGTTTCCATTTTGGAGATTATTTTACCAGGCATAAAGTACACCTTTTGCCATGCAGTTGGGCCCAGAATTATTCATACCCCTAGGAGATGAGTTATTTAATTAAGTTTTCTAATTTGATAAGAGACAGATGTCTCTCAAGTAAAGCAAATAAAAGCATAACAGGTATTTATCATTGATGAGGAAATTCATGTCTTTGAAACCCTAAACATCTCCATAAATTTTATCCTCCTCCATTTATTCTCTGGTAGATGGAAATAAATCTAATCTGCCAGGAGTATGGATAAGTAGGGGTATAACTGAATGCAATCTTCACACATCTATACCCTTAACCTTATTAAGTTTTGGAAAATCAGGGATAGTTATTTAAAAAAAGAAATATAATGGCTTTAAAAAGAAAACTTATTACGGTTAATTATCCGATTGAAAAAGTGAAAATTATTTAGTACAGATGCATTACTGACATGCTTCTAGTATTTGTAGTAAACTGAACCCCTTTTTGCTCAGTACTAAGGAAAATCCCCAAATTAAATTTCCCTAAAAACAAGAAAATAACATTTCTAATATTTTTAATAGAAATGTGTTAGCCAACTAAAAAGTGTGTCCATGTGATGTACAATATATGCTTTAACATTTGGTCAAATTTGTAGCAGGGATTTCTGCATCATGGAGGTGATAATCCTGTAGCTCTATAGTATGAAGGGAGTCCAGGCTGGTCTAATGTGGCCTTTACCTTCTCTACATTATTGGGTCTCAATAATTGGCTTCTATGTCGTTCCAGTTTGCTAGCATATCAGTTTAGACAGGACATTTTAATCTGGACTTCAAGCAATTTGGGTTCTTAATTTGGCCTCTTCACCCACACTCAGAAACTTTGATTTGTAAATTAAATAAACATTTAGCTTTAATCTTTAAACCGGCATCTAAAGACAACGTCTCAGTCGTTTTTCTCCTATGCCCAGGTAAGACATTTCTAACTAGGGCTGCACGATTATCACGACTGATTCTTATGACAATATTTACCAGTATTAACATGATTTCTATTGTGAAACCCTAATTCCTACATTGTCTAAGGATTTATATTGGCATAGTAAAAAAAAATGCTATTATGCTCTCTAAACACACCAATTTCTGCAGCATTTTAAATCCCAAACCTCTAAAACGAGCACAGGTTACCTCTTGTTGGCACACGTTTTTAATCACCCTTCATTCTTCCACTCAACTTTCCTATGATATACTGAGACGCTGCGATCAGGCAGCTTCTTTTGTAATGACCTAAGACTTCTTCTGGAGGGCGTCGGTGAGAGAAAAAAACCATCAAGTCGGCAGCCTTTATTGTGATCTTGTGTTCATAACACAGCTGTAACATCTTTTTTAATTTGTCAAATAAAAAAAAAAGTTATGTAACTAAAGTAAATATAAATGTAAATATTTCTGTCTCTAAGGCGTAATCATCAGAATCAGTGGTAAAGACATCTCTGTGGCTTATGAATCTGTTTTTTACTTTTAAATTACTGACTTTTTATTTCAGTTTTTTCAGTAATTTGAAATGTGGGTGCAAGTCAAGATTTCACGGTGGTTTTATTTATTGAACAAGGATGAAGCCAAAATGGAAAAGGTACTGAAAAGTTAACACACACTGGAAATCATACAAACAGTTGAAATTTTGATGTGCTAAACTGAAACATGTCTTTGAGACCTGAAGCAGTATCTCATCCATGTTTACACCATCCGTCCATTCTTACGGATTCCCAAGCCTTTCAGACCGGAGGGGACAAATGGCTCACCCCCCCACAGTGCTCTGACTGCCCCAGGGACCTTTCAAACCCTTTAAAATAAAAATGTGTTATTTTTAACTCTTACAGTGTAAATACAAACATATTGACATCTTCATCTACATCCACACTATGTGCCATTTTAAAGACAGACGCCTTTCTTAATGCAAGTCTACTTGAACAGAACCAAGGGCAGTTTTCAATGGGCAGCTGGTTATAACGTTTGAGGATTTTGAGTTCTATTATTTGGGGAAAATTGGGGATATCCTGTAATTGTGCCATTTTCTTTTCAGTGCGTGTTGCTCTGTTGATTCTATGTTTAAACATTCAGTTTTGGTATCTGCTTGTTTAATCAGACTTTCTGAACAAAGACTGAAAATGACTTTCTACACACCACAGCAGAGATTTGGTGTGCTCTGGTTTATTTGGCAAGGGAAAAAAGCCCTGAAGTATTTCCTTTTTTTGTTAAAACAATAAATGGATAAATATGTGTCGCCAGTCTTTGTGCTTCTTTTGTGACTGAAGTGTACTAGCATTGTTGTAAGCATATCAGAAATGTTATCTTTAATAATTTGCTGCCATGTTGGCCTCCATTGCTCCCCTTTAGGTTAGTAGTAAATTTGAGAAAGATGAGTAACTCATAAAATTATGACATTTTCAGAGAATAGGTGTGTTTTAGGCTGTTTAATAGCTGATCTACTGTTGTTTGCTGAAACAATCTGATCAACCTCATGGTCTCTTGAAGTAAACCTGCATTTAGCTTGATAACCTACACCTGGCTTCATGTAGCTGCACCCGTGGGACCTGGGTTGACCTTTGTAGAGCAGATGAAGCCAGGACATGCTCCTCCTGCTCAGTTAAGCCTGTCTCTATCTCATCCTGACAATTTCTGAGTACAGCTATTGTGGAATAGTGAATTAAAAGTGAATTATCAACTAATATCATCTAATCAAATTTTGAGCTAAGCATATAAGAAGACAACTTTAATGAAATCCAGTTAATGCAATAAGATAATAAGGTGGGCTAATGCCTTCAAAGGATGCTTCCTTTTCTCAGATGCCCTAGGGGCAGGGCCAAAAATTGAGCTGTTAAAGGTGGATGGTTAATCAGCATATCTAACAAATATTTTAGTCTTAGATTTACAATTTCACTTATAAGATTATATATTTAGGTATGTTTATTATATATAACAGACACTTAAAATTTTGTTTAATTTTTACATTCTGTCAGCATAATATTTTAGGTTTCACCAGGTGTTTTCCCTTCCTGTTTGTGTTCAACACTTTTTCTCTATGCTACTTTACATTACTACACATAAGTTAATTTCTGAGTATTATTTTGTGTCTTTCTATGTACAGAATACTTGGGTTGTTACCAAAAACTGCTGCAAGAATCACATCAATAACGCTTTTAGAAATATGCTTATCATGAACAATGGTGCTGATGAAGATTCTCAGTCATACAGGTCATAGTCATTCCATAAAAGTAAAAAAAAAAATCCACTGGACTTGGTTTCCAAGATTTGAAGATGTTTCGCCACCTCTCCAGGAAGAAGACAATGGTGAAATGCTAGTATATGTTTCAAATGTTAAACTCATCTGACCAAAGAACATTATCCCAGAAATACTTATCCTTGTCTCCCCTTTCTTTGAATTAATTAGAGATTATGTTTTCCATAGAGACTAAAAGTGTCCTGCTTGCACACCTAAACTGAACTTCTTTCTTCTTTTACGACTGAACTGACACCATCTCCCATATTAAAAGTAGGAAGAGCCTGCTGGATGGTACCATGATGAAATTCTAGGATTTTTAGAGTTTTTTTTAGCAGCTTGTAGTGAGCTCTCAGGGTGGGGTTGCTTGTGCAGCAAACCCTGAACAGCTCAATAAACTCTCAAGCATTATTATGAGAAAAGTATAGACTTATGAAATAAATGTTTTTAATTGGAAAACATATTTTGCAGGTATTCCTTTTTAAGCATGTAAATCAACTTTGTTTTGACATGTCTAAAACTGTTCCTTGGACTAAATATGTATATAAGATTCCCATTTGCCACTGAAGAAAGTTTTCCCAGAACATCATACAGTTAGCACCATATTTATCCAAAGGGGATGATGTTTTCAGGGTTATGTTCAGTGAGAGTTTTCTGTATATTTTCTTTTGCATGTGGACCAAAAGGTTCCATTTAGGTCTAGTTTGTTTGCTACGTCCCCTACTTGGCTTATGGCAAAATTTAAGCAATATTTCTTATGTTTTCCCCCCTACCATTCTTCTATTAAGGGGTGTTTGGAAGACTCAGAGTTGTCCTGTCAGTTAATTGTCATAACATCCTTTCTTTAAACATTTCATTCAAATACACTTTTATTTGATAATTTGTGATTATGTGCATATTTTATTTCAATTCTAATCTCAGATTAGAATTGAAACAAGACACGAGCAACAAGTATAACATCCTGCATAATCCCCTTAAACATTTAATCTTAGCATCTCTATGTTTTATGTTATATCCATTATTTGCACTATCCCTTAAACTTTTGAAAATTCTCAGGATAAAAATAGAGGGTTTTACATTTCTCTCATTAATAAACTGCAAAACTTTCATTTGTCATGTGGATAGATTCTCCTACATGGGCTGAGAATCTCTGCAGCTCCTGCTGAGTTGACTGCTTCTCTGATGAGAGATGCTCTTACTCTGTCCCCTGTTGGAGAAGGTCATGCAATACATACATTTTTGTATGGTGATCATTGCTTCATTAAAAAGAAATTGAGGCTGTGTGGTCTCACATGTTTTACAACAATCATCTGAAGCATCTGCAATATTGCTTTAACGATAAGAAATATATGTGTTTACAGTATATATTACCTTTTCAAATACCAACATTTTGCATTACAACTGGATAACTGGAGTTATACTCCTGTATGTTATATTGTAAAAAGTTTTTGTTCTTTGCAGGGTACATTTTTGTGGTCAGCTCCTATTTTCCCTATTCAATGTTAATACCGCTGCTGCCTTTTATTTAAGGGTTGACTGCTAAATATGCAACAAAGACAAAAACTTTTTTACTGTATATCATGTCCCCTTTACTTGACAATCATACCCTGCAAGTTGTTGGGCTTTTATATAAAATCAGGTAAAATATTTATTAAGATTTATGGCTGTGATTAATTAGATAGTGGAAAAGCTGAAGGATATTAAAAAGGCATTTGCAAAGCACCAAGTTGTAATTTAGATACTAGATATCTAAACGTCAGAAAATAAAAAAATGGGCAGAAAACGAGCCTTGTTTCCTTTATTTTTTCCTATTGAAAGCATTTAAATCAAATTGAACAAATCCCTTGATGTAGAAAGCAGACTAGTTTCAATACTGTGACCTTAAGTACAGCGGCCTGATCATTTTTCCTTTTTCAAATGGCACATTTGAAGGCCTCCAGCTGACGTCAGTTTTTTTCTCTCTTTTTCTGTTTTTTCACGGTTTCCATGGAGCACAGTTGTTGTGAGGCCCTGGTGCTTAATTACCCTGCATCAAAAGGCATGGAGTACATTGATGGCAAATTCTTTTCACTCCTTGACATGTGCTGGCATACATTTACACGGCAGGGCACACAGTGGCAGTGCTCCCCTGTTAATGCTTCGCCATCGTATGTATGAAAAAAAAAGAAAAAAGAAACAGAGGTTCTGAGCAGCACTCAGTATGCATATGTGACCACCGGGTTCCAGCCTCTAGACTTTCATGGATCCTTTTGAATGGGGCTAGATTAGAAAGCTTAGTAGGGAGCTGTTAGGGTTGCATGGCTAAAAATAGGGCCTCTGCCAGTTAGCAGAACAGCAAGTAGGCTGTGAAGCTGCTCTCTGGTAGTTTTGCCAAATGTTTTACAATTTACAACACCAGAGAGGGGCTTTTAAAGCGCCACGCTTCCACGCTCTACAATTTATTTCATATAGAAAACATGGGTATGACAGGAAACTGTTGTTATAGGGAGGTCAGAAGGGACCTAAGCTCATCATTTGACCGTTTGACCCACTGACGCAGGGAGCTGTACTCTGGGATTTTGGCAATAGATGAGACATATCCTTTTCCCTCTTTTTGCTGTTTCTCTCGTCTGAAATTGATTCTCTTGATTGTGGCTGCATTGGATTCATTTCTTTGAAGAGTGCACACAATCTGTGTGACTAAAGCACTCACTGCGCAATCCATCCCCCTCACCCGAGACCCCCTTTTTTTCACAGGGAGATGGGATAATAGCCAAACGGCATCAGAGCTAACTAATGTGACTGCATAATAAACAGATGAGTCAGTCTCCATTTGCATATCATGTCATCCCGTCCCAACCTTATCAGAGCTACTGGACGCTTAATATTAATGAAAAGTATAACTGGTTATGATGCATGGACCAACAACTGATTTTCACAGTTATTTTATTTTTTTTCCTGTCTATAATAATACAAGTCAGCATAGATGTGCAGAGTTATTATAAAGCTGTCTCACAGTGGACCCCCAGTCAACACCACTGACTGCTGATGAATGTAATTACTGGGAAGGTATGCTAGAGGGAGCTAATTAATAAGGCATTTGTGAGTGGGAAAAGTGGATTTTTCACTACAGCTTGGCTATCA